CCCGTCTGGCCTTCTAAGTACGTCCCCACCTTATGGTATACCTGCTCACTGAACTGTGAACAGCCTACAACATGAGATGACTCAACAAGCTTAAACCTTGCCTCATTATCTAATCCCAACCTGCTCTGCTTGCATGTTATTAGTAAAGGGTGATATTTCATCTAGCTGCTCTAGCCACATCTCTCCCTCTCCCCGTCTTCTCTCTCTCTCTCTCTCTCTCTGCCATTAAACAATTGATCACCAAGTCCTAGAAACTTGTCACTTGTTTTTCCACTCTCCATCACTGCTTCTGCTGTCTTAGGTCACCACCTCTCCATCTCCTTCCCAGATACTGAAATACCTGCTAGTTAGCCTCCCTCTAGGCTAGTCCTTCATGAATTTCTCTTGGCCTCCCAAGCTAGCTTGACAATACAAGCTTTGTTACCAGTGAAATCATATTCATATTTTAAAAAATTGGTGAATATTATAATTTTGGCATGTGAAAAGTATCTCTAAGCATGACATAAAACCTAAAAAATGTAAATATGGTTACTTTTAAAACTATTCTGTAATGGGGCCACTGCTGTAGCACAGTGGGTTAAGCTGGTTTGGGTGCCAGTTCTCTCTCTCTCTCTCTGTAATTCTCCCTTTCAAATAAATAAATAAATCTTTTTAAAAAATCATCTGTAAGATAAAGAACACAATAATTAAATATTTAAAATAACTGGGGAAATTATCTGCAACATATACGGCGAGGGACAAGCTAAATTCCTTAATATACGAAGAGTTCTTACAACTCACCAGGAAAGAAACCTATCTATAAATTTGAAAAAACATCTTGAGTCCAAACCAGATGAGAAAAAACTGAATGCAAATAAATACAAAGCTATGAGGAGGGCACAACAATTCCTGTGAACACTGGATCTGGGGAACTTGCTTAGATAGCATGATTACTAAAGCTGCTTCAAATGCCTTGCCTAGATTAAATTATATCACACTTCCACACTGCGATACCTTCCACAGTTGAAAAATGCTTCTGATCTCTCTTGTTTATGCCTTTGGAACACAGTAGAGCACATTTACATAGAACAAACCATTCCCTGTAAAGCTTATGAGGCCTCTTTGCCTGATTATTGATGTTTCAGCTTTGAGCCAGAAGGTTAAAGTCTACAGGAATGTTTCTGAGCTCACACAACAGCAAACCCTATTATGCCACCACCACCAGCCTGGCTGGGAGGCCAGAGAAAATGCCACTGGGTTAAATCACTTTTTCCATTCTGATCTGAACTGAGTGGTCAAATTATAACCTCTGGTAAGCAGGCAGAGCATCAGCAGAGGGTACACAGAGAACCTGTTGCCACAGCTGCCATAAAGACATCTTCTTGGAGCCAGTGTTGTGGCACAGTGGGTAAAGCATCGGTTCGAGACCCAGCTGCCCCACACTGATACGGCTCCCTGCTAGTGTACCTGGGAAAGCAGTGAAAGACGGCCCAAGTGCTTGGGCTCCTGCACCCACGTGGGAAATCCAGAAGACACTCCTGACTCCTGGCCTCAGCCTGGACCAGCCCTGGCCATTGCAGCCATTTGGGGGAGTAAACCAGCAGGTGGAAGATCTCCCCCCAACACACCTTCCCCTCTCTCTCTCTCTCTCTGTCTGTCTCTGTCTCATCCTCTCTTTGTGTAACTCTTTTAAGTAAAAAAATAAATCTTTTAAAAAAGACATCTACTCTACCTATATGCATGGTCTTCCAAACCTAAGTGATTATCAAAGTCCTACATGCAAACAGTAAGAAGCCTTAGCTTTGAAATGAAAGCTCAAATGAGAAGTTAAATCTGTTGCCCCCACAGATAAAGGGTTAATAACCAGAATCTACAAAGAGATCAAGAAACTCCACAAAAACAAAACCAACAACCCACTTAAGAGATGGGCCAAGGACCTCAATAGACATTTTTCAAAAGAGGAAATCCAAATGGCCAACAGGCACATGAAAAAATGTTCAAGGTCGCTAGCAATCAGGGAAATGCAAATCAAAACCACAATGAGGTTTCACCTCACCCCGGTTAGAATGGCTCACATACAGAAATCTACCAACAACAGATGCTGGAGAGGATGTGGGGAAAAAGGGACACTAACCCACTGTTGGTGGGAATGCAAACTGGTCAAGCCACTATGGAAGTCAGTCTGGAGATTCCTCAGAAACCTGAATATAACCCTACCGTTCAACCCAGCCATCCCACTCCTTGGAATTTACCCAAAGGAGTTTAAATTGGCAAACACAAAAGCGGTCTGCACCCTAATGTTTATTGCAGCACAATTCACAATAGCCAAGACCTGGAACCAACCTAAATGCCCATCAACGGTAGACTGGGTAAAGAAATTATGGGATATGTACTCTTTAGAATACTATACCGCAGTAAGAAACAACGAAATCCAGTCATTTGCAACAAAATGGAGGAATCTGGAACACATCATGCTGAGTGAAGTAAGCCAGTCCCAAAGGGACAAATACCTTATGTTCTCCCTGATCAGTGACAACTGACTGAACACCAAAAAGGAAACCTCCTGAAGTGAAATGCACACTATGAGAAATGGTGACTTGATCAGCATAGCCCTGACTGTTAATGAACAACTTAATACATTATCCCTCTTAGTAGTTTTTTTTGTCTGTTCTACTTAATATGACTGGTTTTATTCTGTAATTATCACACAGTTATTCTTAAGTGTTGAAAATTAACTGAAATGTGATCCCTGTTAAACATAAGAGTGGGAATAAGAGAGGGAAGAGATGTATAATTTGGGACATGCTCAAGCTGACTTGCCCCAAATGGTAGAGTTAGAAACATACCAGGGGATTTCAATTCAATCCCATCAAGGTGGCATGTACCAATGCCATCTCACTAGTCCAAGTGATCAATTTCAGTTCACAATTGATCATAATGAAAGGACTAAGAGTCAAAGGGAGCACATAAACAAGTCTAGTACCTGCTAACACTAACCGATAGAATAAATAAAGGGGAGAGTGATCCAACATGGGAAGTGAGATACTCAGCAGACTCATAGAATGGCAGATGTCCTAAATAGCACTCTGGCCTCAGAATCAGCCCTAAAGGCATTCGGATCTGGCTGAAAAGCCCATGAGAGTATTTCAGGCATGGAAAGCCAAGACACTCTGGCAAAAAGATCTCTGTGAGTGAGATCCCAGTGGAAAGAACAGGTCTTCAAAGAAGGAGGTACCTTTCTCTGAAGGGAGGAGAGAACCTCCACTTTGACTATGACCTTGTCTAAACAAGATAAGAGTCGGAGAACTCAAGGGGCTTCCATAGCCTTGGAAACTCATGACTGGTGCATAGGGAGATTACTGATGCCATAAACAGGAGTGTCAATTTGTAAAGTCAACAACAGGAGTCACGGTGCACTTACTCCTCATGTAGGATCTCTGTCCTTAATGTGCTGTACATTGAGGCTTAATGCTATAACGAGTACTCAAACAGTATATTTCACTTTGTGTTTCTATGGGGGTGCAAACTGTTGAAATCTTTACTTAATGTATACTAAACTGATCTTCTGTAAAAAAAAAGAAATTATCAATTCCCAACTTGACTCTTACTGGGATTAAACATGACAATAGGTCTGATCTGATTTCATCATCATTTAAAAAAAATCATCTATTATTTTTCACTTTATGTTTCTGTGTGGGAGCAAACTGTTGAAATCCTTACTTAATGTATACTAAGCTGATCTTCTGTATATAAAGAGAATCGAAAATGAATCTTGATGTGAATGGAAGGGGAGAGGGAGGGGGAAAGGGGAGGGTTGTGGGTGGGAGGGACGGTATTGGGGGGAAGCCATTGTAATCCACAAGTCGTACTTTGGAAATTTATATTCATTAAATAAAAGTTAAAAAAAAAAAAGTCAAAGGAAAAAAAAATCTGTTGCACCCAGAAGATGAGGTATATATTGTGTTAGAAAATATCAAGCAATTCGGAGCACTGACATAACTTTTTACATGAATCTGGAAGACAGGCCAATTATCCACTGTAAGATTACAAAGTAATCTGACAATATTAGTGTCTATTTGCCAAAAATAGAATTTAAAACAATGAGGCAGAGACTAATAATGGAATGAAATCATGAGTAAACTTGGGGAAAACAAGGAAGGTTAAACCCAACAAAACAGTAGTGGAATTCAGAAAATGCAAGCAATTATTCCCCAGCTTTTAAAATTTAGGGCTGCATTTGGGGACCCATCTATCAGAATACCACCATCATAAAAGGGACAGAGAGAACTCAAATACAGCACTTTCTGTTTTTTCAAATTGTCTTTACTTTGTGAACACTTACTCCTAATGTCATTTAGAATTATCACATCGATGCATGAATTTCATTTTTTAAGCAGCTTAAAAAAGAAGATAGTTGGATTTCCACATTTCTGGCTTGTGCAATGAATTTGCAGAAATTCCAACTTTGATCAGCGATTTCTAAAACATTCGTCTTATCCTATTATTTGCCACTGGTCAAATTAATAAAATATCTTCCCAATACATCTAGAGGCTTACAAAGCCACTGTTCACTGTTGCTGGCTGAAATGGGCTTGGTGGCTTCTGGAAATAAGCATCATATGAGCAGATATAAAGGCCAGCCAGTCTAGAACTCCTCAGCCTAAGCAAGCACAAAACCAGCCAAGAAAATCAAATCTCACCAGTAGCCTCTTTCCCCCTCCTGGAGGAAAAAGGGTTTGTGACTTATTTGAAGCAGTGAGTGCCAGGAAATCCTGTTCTATTGCTATTCCATACAGGGAATTAGAGAGAAATTGGAGGTCAGAAGAACAGAAAAAACATTGCTGAAGTAATCTACATCCAGCCTCTCTGGAAGGCCTCCTCTGTGGCCAGTAAGTTGTATGTTAAATTAACAAGCAAAAAAATAAACGGCACAAAGTCTATGTAAAGCCGACACGATTCTTTTCTCAGGCCTCCAGTTTTCAAAAAGACCCGCTGTAGGAGAAGCGAATGCGGAGACTCACTCTGGGAAGCAGAATGCCCTTCTGCAGCTTTGTCTTCGTGCCCGTCGTAGTCCCTGCTGGAAAGTTGCCTGTTGGCAGTCTCCAGTCGGTCTATGAACAAAGAGGAAATGATTACAGAGAACTGCATATGGATTTCAGTCATCATCCAGCTGAGAAACGAAATGGATACCAAGAGCTGGGTAGGAAGAGATGCTCAGGCAGGAGCCCAAAACTCAGATCTCTTGGGGAGGAACAATAACTGTTTCAAAACATCAAAAGAAAAGCTTTCAGATGCCGCACTGTTTCTTTGTACAAGTAACACCAAGGGGAGTGCACCAGCAGTCGGCTGGGACAGGTTCCGAGGAAAACTGCTTCCCTGCTTCCAAGGCCAGCAAACCTGTGGCTGGAAGTCCTTGCAAAGAGGTGCATTCTCCTTGGCTTCAAACCCAGCCCTAGTCTAACCTGGACCACCAGCCCTATATGTTTTATCTGCTAACTCCATCTGCATCTCAGAATCAAAATTAAAATAAAAAAAGAGCAGCTCATTATATTCCTTTAAAAAAAAAAAAAAGAAAAAGGCAACTTGACCTGATGAATGAAAATTGTACACAGTGAGCTTTTTGTTTGCTTGAACTACGTGATGTATCTTCATTAATTCAATTAAATAATTTAAATAAAATAGTGTTTATTGAGGTAATATGACGTCCAACACAAAAGGGTTTGTAGTAACAGAAGAGGTAGGACCTAGCTACTGGGAATGCCAGTGTCCTGAGTGTTTTGGAATATGAAGCAACTGAAAAATGGCTGGGTTGACTGAAATGAAGTCTAATTTTATGGGTTAAAACATCACAATCATCAGGGGTTGCCAAGATCTGAGAGCAGGTGGCTCCTATATTTCAGGGAGTAAGAATGTCTACTCTTTTCACTGTTGGGGCTTTTTGCCCCAGGAGGAACACATTCTAGCTCTGTCTTCTATACTATAGCTAGCAAGTGTTAAGTGCTGGTTTTCAAAGGATGCTGCCAAGCACTCAACTTGAAGTGCAAAGGGCCGTGCGTCCTACACTGGTCTTCTCATATAAGTCACGAGTACTGCTCAGTACCTTTAGAGCAAGAAGCAGCTACACACAGACTCCCTTCCTTTCACAGACTTGTGCCTGCTTCTAAGGCTCAGTGCCACAACCTACAAGGCAGAAGAGAACAATTCTGCTCTTTGAGCACTGCCCCTTCTTACCAGATGGTTGGGATTTACAAGACTGTCTAACACGGGCAGAACAGCACCCGTGGCAGAGCGATTGGCCCTGAAGTCACGCCACTAGCCACACAATAATTCAGGGTAGGGGAACATGAATAGGACTTGACATGCCTCGCAGGTCTCTGTTGAAATCATGAAGTCTTCTAATTTCGCCTTCCAGTTTGTTTCTCATTGCCTTGTCCAGTGACTCTCGCTTGGTGGTGGACTTGACCAGACTCTCATAGGCTTCTGAAATCCTCTGAAGTTCTTTTTCAAACTAAAAGAAAGAACTAGCATTAAGGGGACATTCATGCCGGAATCTTAGTAAAACTGATTCTCTGATACTCCAAGTGCAAAGGCTGGGTCTTCATGGCAGCCCTTCTGCATCTCAAGTTTCATGTCCACCAAATCATGTAATCGGTTTCACTCCCCGTCCACCTTTCCAAGGCTGTTAGGATCCTGTATGAAACACACTCACAAGTCTGGCCAGACCATCTGGCATCACCTTACAAAAATTTCTCTGTACCAACACTAGGAAGGGGTAAATCTAAACACAACTTAAAAGTCTTACATTTCATATGGAAATCTGTGCTCTTATTATCGCTCCCAGTCAACATAAGGAAAATATTAAAATACAGAAAGCCTAAAGAACTGCAAGTAGACCCAGATTCCCAGATTCCAAGTGCAGTGCTCTTTCCAGAGATCCTCCTACCATCCCCAAAGAATACAGAATCTACTCCAGAAGAGGCTTAATTACTCAGTGTTTTCACACACTTGTCTATGGAGCTGTATCTGTAAAAGACTAATGGACTTACAGCTAAATATAAACAAAGCCACCATGGAAAATATGTAAAGGAATTGATGGAGATGGGATTAAAACCAGAGATAGAGCATTTCACTAAATCAAAAACTAACTGGGGGAGCCCTTTCCTTCCTTCCCTCCCTCCCTCCTTCCCTTCTTTCCTCCCTTCCTTCCTTCCTTCTTCCCTCCCCTCTCCTCCCCTGCCTTCCCCTCCCCTCCCCCTCTACAGTGCATATAAATCTAGGACAAAGTAGTATAATTATTACAATAAGGGCCTAACAGTTGTTTTTGAAGTGGAGATCAGTGGACCTCATTTTACTGTCAAGTAACATAAACGCAGGAGAAAGGGTGATGGCTGGTGAGAGCCTGAAAACATGGAAGTTCATTCAGTTGCTGCTGAAAGTCAGAATAAGAGGCAAAGCTGGTGGGGCTGGAGAATTAATGTCCCCACCCTCGCCACAATGGTCACCAGAACCATGTTTTCACTCTACAGGACAGTGATGTCACCGGGAGCCTGGCAGTCACCTTCCAGAACCCCAGCTGTCCAGATCAGAAAGTCCTTGCCAAGACTCCAATAAATAATACATATCCTAACAAATATTCAGTGTTCATTTGCAATGTGCAAAAACTCTTCTGGGTGCCAGGGACAGAGTGCTGAGACAATTTCTGGCCTTTAGGAAGAGTTCACAGTCTAAGTTGGCCTTACCCAGACACACACAATATAATAAGGGATGTGGTGGTAAACTAATCCCACTTTGCTGGGTGCAAGAGGGTTTTTAAAAAAATATGTTAGGGGGCTGGTGCTGTGGCTCTCTAGGTTGATCCTCTGTCTGTGGCGCCGGCATCCAATGTGGGCACTGGGTTCTAGTCCCGGTTGCTCCTCTTCCAGTCCAGCTCTCTGCTGTGGCCCGGGAAGGCAGTGGAGGATGGTCTAGGTGCTTGGGCCCCTGCACCCGCATGGGAGACAGGGAGGAGGCACCTGGCTCCTGGCTTTGGATTGGCACAGCTCTGGCCAATGCGGCCAATTGGGGAGTGAACCAATGGACAGAAGACCCTTCTCTCTGTCTCTCCCTCTCACTGTCAGTGTAGCTCCGGCCATTGCAGCCATTTGGGGAGTGAAACGATGGAAGGAAGACCTTTCTCTCTCTCCCCCTCACTGTCTGTAACTCTACCTGTCAAATAAATAAATTTTAAAAAAATCTTTAAAAATATGTTAGAGAAAATGCCATCTTAAATGAATATTGAAGGATGAACAGGAATTTGCCAGATAGAAAAGAAGGTTGAAAGGGTTTTGACATTCCGTGCAAAATACAGGGCACCAGCTTAGAAAGTAGGTGCATGTTTCTGATGGGACAGGAAGTCCAGGGACACAAACAAGGACCCAGTGGCAGGCTATGGGGCCCAAGGATGGACTACAAGCTACAGTAAGGGAGAATTATAGGGGTGGATGGTTTTGGAGAGGGGAGGGCTATAAGCAGAAAGGTGGCATGAAACTTTCAGAGTTTTTGTAGAGATAAAACTAAAGCATGGCATGAAAGAATGGGAATGGGGAGAGGAAGCAGGAGAAAAGTCCAGGTAAGAGGCTACTGTAGCAAGTTCACGGAGAGGTGACAAGGATGGGCATCAAGACACTAAAGAGTAGAATCAGTAGGTCTTGGTGCTAGGTCTGGACCATAAAGGAGAGAAATAAAAGAGAACATAGGCATTATTCCAAGAGAAACAGGTATACCAAAGAAAAAGGAGTCAGCCTAGTTTGGGAGACAAGACGTTTGAGGAGCCTGCAGAATATCTTGGGAAAGATTTCCCATTACCAGGTGGACACACACAGGTCTGAAAGCCAGGAGACAGCTGTGGTGTCCCCAGTGAACAGATGGCAGATGCAGTCATAAAGTGGAGAGCACTTGGGTGACCAGCTGTAGACCAGAGGGCCATGCACGGAGAGCACTCATGCTGAGGGAGGGATGAGCAGAAGAACAGGGAGAGAGAAGAAGCCAGGGGTACCATAGGACCAGGAAGCCAAAAACGGAAAGGAGAGACCTTGGTCCGGGTCCCCAGAGGTGTCTGAAAGAGGGCAGTGCAGAGGCCGGAGGGCCCTGGGGCTTCTGCTCAGGGGCAGCCAAGTAGGCTCCTTTTGGTGCCATGTTATTTTCCCAAAGGTGTGGGGAGCAACTCGGACTAGACTAAGTTACTGGAATTAAGACTTATTCTATGCATCTGCTCTCCCACAATATGGCGCTGGGAGAGGAGTAAACAACTTCTACACAGCTGCCTCTCGCCAATTTGATTGAGCTGCAGGAGCTGCTCCTGATTGGAGGAGAGCAGCGTACTCGGCGTGTGGGTAGCAGAGTTGGGATTGGTGGAAGAGGACTATAAAGGAGGAGAGAGACAACATGCACCAGGAACATCTATGAGGAACACCTGAGCAGCCCCCGAGATAGCCGGCCGGCGGTGTGCCGCTCCCCCGCGGAAGTGGGGAAAGTGGCAGGGGGGCCCGCCCCTCCACGGAGGTGGAGGGACGGCAGCCAACCCGGGAAGAACCAGCAGCAAACCCGGGAAGGGCCAAGCAGACAAAAGAACAGTGCAGGGTCCTGTGTCGTTCCTCCACGAAGAGGGGGAGCGACACAAAGGCCTCCTTAAACCGGAGCTGGGTCTTCCATGATCTCATTTCCACAAGGCCCTTCTGCTTCTTTCAAAGATATGAATTATTGTTAATACGGCAGCACAGTGAGCAGGATGCCTTGAATCCTGTTCATAGTTCTGCAAATGGCATTTCTTCCTTTTAATTCTGTTTTCACAACACACACAACACCAGGGGTGAGCACTGTGTCACAGAGGGAGAAATTGCTGTTTACGACACCCGCATCCTCTACTGGAGTGCCAGTTCTAGTTGGGCTGCTTTGCTTCTGATCTAGCTCTCTGCTAATGCATGATGGGAGGCAGCAGATGATGGTTTATGTGCTTGGCCCCTGCCACCTGTGAAGGAGACTCAGATGGAATTCCACACTCCTATATTCAGCCTGGCCCAGCCCTGGCTGTTGTGGCCATTTGCTGGGTGAACTAACAGAAGATTGATCTCTCTCCCTCTCTCTCTTTCAAGTACATGAAAAAAAAAAAGCATTTTTAAAAACACAAGACCATTTCTTTGCTAATTTCACCTATAAAAGGCATCTTTTGTTTCCAGTCAGGTGAGCATGCCACAGGGACAGTCTCCTTGAACATCACAGGGCATGACCTAGTCACAAAGGAGGCTGTCGGTGCCCTACACCCTCGAGGCTTCCACCAGGAGACTAGCACTCATCCTGCAAGTCCAGAGCACTGAGGAGGCCTCCCTGAACTGTACGTCTCACAGAAACTTCCTCTGGACCTGACTTTGTAGTGTTATTTTTATCTGGTTCATTTGCCTCATGGGAACTGTGATATGGGCGTGCAATTGTTGAGTCTCTTACTTCACTGTTAACTCCTCAGGGACATAATTCTTAACACCCCAGAACTGTTCCCTGTTGACAACAAAAATGCTGACTGCTGAGTCAGTCTTTAAATATCTAACTTCTTTTTTGTTGTTGTTGGTGGTGGTGGTTTTTTTGTTTTGTTTTGTTTTGTTTTTTGACAGGCAGAGTAGACAGTGAGAGAGAGAGAGAGACAGAGAGAAAGGTCTTCCTTTTTGCTGTTGGTTCACCCTCCAATGGCCGCTGTGGCCGGCGCACCGCGCTGATCCAAAGCCAGGAGCCAGGTGCTTCTCCTGGTCTCCCATGAAGGTGCAGGGCCCAAGGACTTGGGCCATCCTCCACTGCACTCCTGGGCCACAGCAGAGAGCTGGACTGGAAGAGGAGCAACCGGGACAGAATCTGGCACCCCGACCAGGACTAGAACCCAGTGTGCCGGCGCCACAGGCGGAAGATTAGCCTATCGAGCCGTGGCGCTGGCCTAAATATCTAACTTCTAAAGGCAGAGTGGATACTGATACACCATGCCCAGCCATGGATTCTTTCACTAAAAGCACTTCTCTCTGCACACTGCAAAAGGAAACTTCAGGGCCCCTATCATGGTGTAGTTTCCTATCTCAATGCTAAATAAGTGAGAATCAGCACATGGCTGTGTACTTAGAAGGCACCCAGAGACAAAGAATAAGGATCCCAGTGCAGGGCAAGGTGTTCTGTATGAGAAGCAATGGCTGTAGTGGTAGTGAAAGATTTGTCAATGTGGTTACAGAGGACAGAGCTATAATCAAATGTAGGAAGTTAAGGCAATGCAGACTTTGATTCAACATAAAGAATTTTCTCAGCTACGTTTTCCAGAAATGTAGTATATCCAGTAGTGAGCTTCTCTTCTCTGGAAGCATTTTTTTTTTAAGATTTATTTTATTTGGAAATCAGAATGACACAGCAAGAGTGAGACAGCATGTGTGCACAAGAGAAATCTTCCGCCTGCTGGTTCCTTCCCCAAATGGCTGCAACAGCCAGATGTGGGCCAGATGGAAGCCAGAAGTAGAATTCCATTTGGTCTCCTCATGGGTGCAGGGGCCCCAGCAGTTAGGCCACCTTATGCTGCCTTCTCTTGCACATTAGCAGGGAACTGTATTGGAAGTGGAGCGGCTGGGACTCAATGTGCACTCAGATATGGGATGCTAATGTTGCAGGCAGCAGCTTAACCCACTGCACCACAATGTCAGCCCCTCTGGAAGCATTCAAGTAAAAAATGAATGATCACATTTCAGGGACATGCAGCAAGGATTCCAAAGGGGTAGGAAGTTCAATGAGGCTCATTTTAAGAATTTTAAGTCTAAAGCTCTTCCAGTCATGATTGTAAACGCCTTCAGAGTGGGAGCCACACCCTTGCATGACCAGACCATCTCAAGTCCATCTGGGCTTTGTTAAAGACAAAGGGAAAGTTGGATGGGCTAATTTTAATATGGGAACCATCAGGGACAGTTGAGACTGAGTATGGTGCGTGGGGGAAATATCAAGTTTGCCTTCACAGTTCCCCACCTGCCTTCCTGTCCAGGGGTCAGGGAGCTCTTAGGCAAGGATAAAGAACCCCTGTAATCACAAGGAAGCACTCAGAGTCCCAGGAACACAACGAGGAGCATAAAAGAAAGCCCTTCACGCCTTCCAACGGTGCTGCTGCCATGAAGCAAATGCGCCCTGAGAAAATCAACACCATTCCAATGTCCACACACTGGCTTTTTTTCTGTGCGCCTTTCACACACAAAGCTCAAGGACATACAGGGCAGAGAAGGGCCCATGGTGCAAGCCACAGGTGGACCGATTAAAGCCACCTTTGTTTAGCTCACAAAAGAAGATCTGGAATAAAGCAAGCCTAGGGGAGCCATCAATGCTTGGACCTTTCCATACCAAAACCCATCTGTTCTGATGGCTTCCGAGGCCCACAATCTGGTCTTGGTGAAAACTCTGTCCATTCATTAAGTTTCATAGAAACTTGGAGGAAGAAGAAGCAAAATAAGTAACCCAAAGGGAAGACAACAATAATAGCTCTTTCTGGGGATCCTCAAGCATCCTTCCTTAACAGTGGTCATCACCACCCTGTGCTTCTGTGCAAACAGGGCCTTCATATCCATGCTGGGCTTTGGCAGCACTTGAACTGAGTCGTGCTTTTCTGCCGTGTTCCTGGCAGAGTATGTGTACACTAAGCTCTACAATTAAAAATCCATCAATTTCGGTTCTGCCCTTTCAACTCATCTCTGTGAGGGTGAAAGCGTTCCCAATGCTGTGAGGCTCTCAGATGAGACGATATTGCAGGCACAGAGCGGTCAGATCCTGTAGCATAGTACAGTGAGCCCACTCAAAACAGGCGGTCAAATTCACACCAGGACACTAACAGCAGCATCACTGAGAAGCAGCTGTCATTGCAATCACTCTCTCCCCAGACCCAAGACATCAGCAGCTGCTTCTTAAGAACACTGAGCAATGAGGCCGGTGGTGAGGTAAGACCGAGACCAGGATGTCCTTGGAAACACAGTGCACAAAAGGTTACAACACAAAATTCAAGCAACTCTCCTGGTCCCAGTGCTGAGAACAGCCACGCAACTGGTGAGGCATACGGCAAGTATCTACCCAAATCTCCAGGTTCCATCAACATTTCTGGTTTGACATATGACAGATTTGTGAAACGCAGTCTTTAATGGAAACATTGATAGTACTCAGGAGACAGAGGAAGCTTTCAGTTCCAAAAAGGAAATTGCTTTTGATTTGTCTCCTTTTCCAGAATTCATCAAAAATCTTCTCAATGCAAATTTTAAGAATCATCTTCTGCATGGAGAAACTGAGTCACTGGGTGATTGAGTGATTTAGTTTTTCAAAATAAAAATGTGCAGCAAAATAAGAAAGAGATGTATGCTACAGGTCAATAAACAGTGTATATTACTAAAAACATCATTGTAGAATAACAGGAAGACCTCCTGATTCCTGCTCTGTCCACGTAACTCTTCAGAAACATCTATGTGAAAAGAGCCAGCACCAAGCTCTGCCCTCAGGTAGGTCTGCATAGCCCTGAACATGTCTGCCTTGAGCTCCATTAGGGCAGAAGAAAGAAACACTTGTTTCCCAGAAAGTGCTGAGTCTGCCCTTCCTAATCTCCAGACTGCACCAAGAAAGAGGCTGCCCTGGGAGGTTTTCGAGGCAAGCCAGGGCCTGTGAGGCAACTTACAGGCCAAGGGCCAGGAGACACATACCAGTTTCCCAACTTGTAAGGGTTCAGGTGGAGGTGGGAGTAAGGCCACAGTCTTCAGCCAGCCCTTGTTTGTTTCTGGCCCCCATTTTCCCTTTCAATAAAGGCATCGAGAGCTCCCTGAGCCAAGCCTGGACTTGACCGCAGGAAATTTCAGACCCTTTCGGAGGAAGTTCCATGTGAATGTGCTGGGGCAGACTGGGCACCTTTGCATCATCAACTCCACTGCTCCCGGCTTGTTCCCTGGTCACTCTCAGGAAGTGAAGGAAGCCTACTTCTTTGACACTCTGACCAGCTACACTTGTGAAATCAGCTCTGCACAGTGATCAGTAAATGAGCCAGCCAGGAGTCATCTAGGGCCTAATGTGGCAATGCTTTTGTAGTCAGCAGTTTACATTCCTACCTTTTCTCTTGACAAAGCCCCTTACTGCCAGGGACAGTCAGACACTTGAGACTCTTATGAGCTCACTACCACCACACAGGCTTCCTTGCCCCTAGAAGGGGAACTCAGGTGCCCTGTGACCTTCTGCCCTGCAACATCCCACTGCCTCCGTCCCCCTTGTGCCTCTGCCAACCTGCCTGCAGCGTGTCGGATGCTGACGTGTGGGTCTTCATGAAATCACTGCCTGGTGACGGTTCATCCTGCAGGATGTTCTCCTGTTTACTTTGGCTCTCAGCCTGGAGTCCTTAGGATGAAGGCTGCCACACATCCTACATTCCCATGACAACAACATAGGTGGGACTCACATCTTCCCATCTGAGAAGCCAGAAGCACACGGAAAGCACACAAGAGCACCTACTCTTGACCCTCCGGTGTTGAGGCAATGCCACTTTTTGCAGAGACCAACTAAGGAAACAGCAATCTCATGGTTTCTGAGATTTCCAGATTTAATAGAAAAATTAACCTGTCAATTCCTCTCCTCTGTATTGCTGCGTTCCCTCTTCCACCCTGGCCTCCTGGTGAATATCTACTTAGCTTTGGTGTCCGGCCAACCGGCTACCTCTGTTGTGACTATGGGCCCCTTCACACTCCCTTGCAGCTGTCTGTATATGCAACTCTCTTTCCTTCTGGTCTGTTGCCCTAAAGCCTTGACCAGCACCTGGCATCAACGTTGGCAAGTGAGTCAACGTATCAACCCCATCATGAGCAGATGAAGAATTCTGTTCTTTCCATTCTCCCTCCTGCGCCCCGGAAAGTCACATACCTTGTGGAGTTTGTCAGCGTTGTCGTAGTAACCCTGAAGTTCCTGGTGAAGCACCCGGTTCTCCTCGGTGAGGATCTCCACCATCTGCTGGGCTCGCTCCACGATCGCAAATGCATCTGGACCAAGCTGCTGGCTCGGGGAGGCGGCAGGTGGGGGCTGTGGAGCGGCCAGGGTCATCGGAAGTGGAAGCGGCAAGGAGACGGAGTGCAGCGGCCCACTGACTGGGGAGGTCTGGGAGGACATGGGGCTGTGCTGCTGCACTGTCGACGGGAAAGGAAGTTGGCACGGACGGCTGCAGGGAACACAAGGCCAGCAATCAGATCCCAGGGGAAGTGAGTGGTGGAGTAGGAAGGCAAGCCCAACGCTGTGTGCACCGTGGATGGCTTCCACCACGTGAGGTCCTCAGTGCACTTCCCAATGCCGGGTGGACACAGCAGGCCAAGTCCCTCATTCCACGGGTACTCACTCTGCTCCCCTCTGCATCAGCATTGTTTTGACTCCTGGGGATACAGCCCACATGACTCTCATGAGGCTTCCACTCTAACAGAGGATGGAGACAAGCTGGCCATCAGCAACAGTCAGCAAACAAAGCCGAGATTCAAACAGTAGTGGGCACTCTCCAAAGAATAAATGGAGCTATGTGAGAGGAGATGACTGAGTGGCTAACTCTGAGAGAGAGAGATCAGGGGAAAAGTCTTTGAGCTCAAGTCCAAATTACAGACAAGCAGGAGCCAGTGGTATGCACAGAGGAGACGGAGAAGTAGGGGGAAGGTGTATTTCAGTTAGGGGAATCAGTGTAGTGCATGGGGCCTACGGCAGGAATTAGCACTGGCATGGAAAGTGGAAGAGAGCAAGCTGGCACAAAGCACAGCCAGCAATCAGCAGGGCAAGAAAAAACTAGAGATGGGTAGGAGCCCTTGTGAGCCAAGAACAGACTTCCCCGTCAGGTGTACACGCCAGGGAAGGATCTGCCTTTCCTCTGAGTACTGCAATGGACAGGGTGCATGGGGACAAGATCTGATGCACAGAGCCAGTGAGGAGGCCAAGATGTGGCCAGGTGAGAACTAGGGACTCACAGAGTTGCAGCGGAAGTGAAACTGCTGGGTGGTTTGCTTTTGTTTTGTATATATTGTGGATGGTATGAAAGGCTGGCAGGAAAATTAAAATTATTCCTCAGGTGTGAGCTCCATGAAAATGAAAAGGGATATCATTGAATAAAAAGGGTATGTCTAGGGGGAGAACTAATTTATGTTTTGTTTTGCTGGAGTGGGAGAGGTTTGGAGATGGAGTCTAATGTTGGCCATGTTATAAAGAACACATGCAGGTATCCCTTGGTGGCCCAAATTCTTGCTATTAGCTCCTACATTTGAAACTGTGAGTTTCCAACTCTTGTCCCCACTTCTTAACAATTCCTTCCTCACTATTCCGTTGACCAGTTTCCTAAGAATCACTGTCTTGTCTTTTAATCTCAGCCAAGAGCTCCTGACAACCCCTTCAGGTATAAACACCAGAGTCCTGATGTCTAGTTCTCCAATCGCAGATGTCCCATGCTGCAGAAAACTGGGAAAACTAGTTTTTCTGCAGACCTTCTCAACATTTAGGTCTCACCCCAGGAACTGGAGATAAAGTGCTAAGAATCACCAGCAACACCCAAATCATCAATGCTCTGGGTCCTAGGACTGAGCCCTGGAGATCCAGCTGCTTCTACTCAGTAACACTCGCATGTGTCACCTTCTCTAACTTGTGTTCATCCATCTACAAAGCTCCCACAACAACCTCATTTTTCCTGGACCTCTGTTTTCCTCTAAGTCTGTTTTCTGGGAATGTTTTGGGACCCTGTCAATCTTCACATCTCTCATCTCATAAGAAGGTCTCATAGCCTGAATACCTATGGATGCCAACTCCTAGTGGCTAAATGTCTACAAAAAACTTTGACAAGGGTCACCTTGACTCCCCCGCTAATACACACACGGGTATGCAGACCTTGATAAAGATGATCTCAGAATAAACTCAGCAGAACCTAACAGTCACGAACACTGGGCATTGCTTGGGTAACTGACACCCAGCACTCACTATTTTCCGAGTGGATTCCCTGATGTCCTCAACCTAGGAGCCCCTTCAGTTTCCGGCTAAAATAAGTGGGATTTGAGTTTTCCTGGCAACGTAATGAGGCACCGTGGAGCTCAATGCAGCTGTTTATTTGGTAAGTGGACTTCAAGGAAGGTTGCCAGTGGGAAGACATAAACCATCCGTCGTCCTCTCTCTCTTTGCACACAATCACAAAATGACCTGGCCAGCTCTTCAGACATAAAACATCCCTGCACTTTGATGAATTCATGCCGCTTCCACACTCAAGTGAATGTGAATACATGTTATCCTGAGCGTATCCTGAGTGTTATCCTGAGGTTCAATTCCATCAAAGAATGAAATGCCCCAGTCTCCCATTCATAATGCCCAGCTTTCACCCCAGGTCATAGGCACTCCTTTCAGGCTTGGACCTAAGGACCAGAGATCTGCCACTGAGTACAGCTTCCTGCAGACTGTCCAAAGCTTACCTGCCTTTTTCATGGAAAGAGGTGACTTAGTTAAGAGCCAACATGCCACAGATTCCTCAAAAGCAGACCCCCATTCCCTTCTCCTGGCCATTCTCTTCACAATTCACCCAAGGTGAAGGATAAGTGCAGCTGGATTTCTTGGCAGTGGGGCATAGCGGGGAAAGCTGCCTGCAGTGCTGGTTCAAGTCCCGGTTGCTCCAGTTCTGATCCAGCTCTCTGCTATGGTCTGGGAAAGCAATGGAAGATGGCCCACATGCTTAGGCCTCTGCACCCGGGTGAGAGAACCGGAGGAAGTTCCAGGCTCTGGCTTCAAATTGGTGCAGCTCCAGCTGTTGCGGCCATTTGGGGAGTGAACCAGTGGATGGAAGACTTCTTTCTCTCTCTCTCTGCCTTTGCCTCTCTGTAATTCTGCCTTTTAAATAAATAATAATCTTTAAATAAAATAAAATGGCCATCAATGTCAAGTCTATTTAGACAAGAAAAACAAGACCCAGGATGGCATGTTGTAAAATATAGGAACAGATAACAACAGAGATAACAAGAATGCAGAGGAGTTTCAAGCTCAGGTGTTCTGATTCCAGAGTCACTACACTTCCCTGGACTGGTGACAGCAGGGAGGGAAGGAAACCACCTTCAGTTCTCTGTCCCTTGGTCCCTAACACTTATCTGTGGCCCATGATGCACACCCTAACACAGAAGCACTATGACTGTTAGAAGGCTGAAACAGCCCCTAGGGAAGCATGAGGGTTAGCAACCTGCCTCTAGGTTGTTCTTGGATCATAACCTACATTCAACTTGATCTTCTCACAGGTGAGTGTCTTGTCTACAGAGAGCATTTAACTAACATTGACTGAGGGGCTGTGCCATCTGCCAGGCACTACATTTCACTTCTTTGCTTAATCCTCACAGCAACAGGAGAGGCACCACCACCTCCATTTTCAAGAGAAAACCTGGGTTCAGGAGGTCAAACAACAGGCCCTACTTCTCTCTCAAGGGATTGGTTGAACCTTGGGAAACCAAACTGACCAGTGATTTAAATATACCTGAGCAGGGCTGAAACTGCATCTACACTATGTGTGAAAAAAGAGATCTCTGGATTGAAAGAGCTACATCTAACAGACAAAACTGCCTCAAGGCTAGCCATCCATGACCAGTGAGCGGACCCTGCTGTGAGCAGCCTGACTCCCAGAATCTGCACCCACACGATTTTGCCCAAGTCGCCCTCCTGACAACACATCACCACCGGCCTTATGATTTGTAATTTGCTCTCTTCAATTCCCATTTAAATAGAAAATTACTTAATATTTCATACATATGTGTCTTTGTCCCTAATTATTAGCAGGCAAGAATTCTAAGGATAGAAAATCGTGACTGATGCTGAGTTGGCAGTCAATAAAGGCTTGTCAACTACTGTAGTGCTTAAGCCCAACAGCAGGTTAGGCCATGTCTGCTTTAAGAGTTTTCAAGGATAAACAACACTCCAACAGCATTATTAAAGAAGAGATGCCTGGCACTTATTTTCCTTCTGGTTTCTACAGGCAGACTCTGGAATCATGAAGTAGTCAACACAGTAACACAGCTCATGCATTTGCAGTCACAAAACACACCCCCAAATTGGAGTGGGGATGTCATTTGGCTTGGGGAGACAAGATCATCAGTGACTGCTACACAGCAGGCCGTCTGCTCCTCTCTGCACACAACAAACCTAAATAACCACATGTTTTCACATCATGCCTGAAAGTAAGTGTGCCATGAAAAAACAGCACTGTAAAAATGGGGCCCTTTAATTCTAGAGGGCTGGGCATTGCATGCTGCCATTCCCTATGTGTACGCGTCATCCTGTTTTACAGGAGGGCTCAGGGGAGTCACATGACACACCAGTGGTCTCGCAGTCTACCTACAGCCAAACAGGGGACTTGAGCCCACATGCTTCCACCACACAGGGTGCCTCCTTATGTTGGCAGAAGACAGCACTGCTCCTTAGTGTGTCTGTGTGTGTGTGTGGTGGGGGGGGTCTTTGTTTTGCCCTTGGGTCAAATTCCGGTTCTGCTTCTGTAACCATGGACAAGCTTTTGGCCTTTTCTTCACCTTGAACCAGTGACAATTGCTATTTACAGTGTCTACCTTGCAGAGTCTGTGAGATTAAATGAGATGATACCAATGAAGCATTGCACTGTGTCTGTCTTCAGGGAAGGGCTAATGCCTGCTAGCCTCTCTTCTTACCACTCACTGCTACAGGGTGTTAGGGAAGAGCCAGGAAGCACCAGTCCTGGGTCTCTCTCCCTTCCCCTTCAAGCACTGTGTGGTAAGAATCACAGTCCCTAGGCTGAGAGCCTCAGCAAAGAATCACAGCGTGCTTTAGCGAACATAGAATGGGATGTAGAGTGATGCAGTAGAGGAAATGTACTCTTTCCTACAGAGACGTCACAGCTTTCAGTCCTGTGTTGTCCCAAACTATGGCCATTGCCACAGGCAACCACTGAGCACACTTGAAATGTGCACTATATTCTTAGTACAAAAAATATAAAATATCTCATTAATAGATCTTTATATTGATTACCTGTGAAACATTTTGGATACAATGGGTTAAATAATTTAAAAGCTTTTGTTTTTGAGTATGTTTTATTTTTAACTGACACATACAGTTTTGTACATATTGATGGGATACCATATGATGTTTCTAAACATACATACATCATGAGATGTTCAATCAGGGTAAACATGTTTTAAATGGTTA